ATCCTACATCGCTGTTTTGCGATTGGGAAAAAAAATTTGTAAAAATGGACATCGATGTTGAAGGTAAGACATCGCTGTTTAAAAAGTTTCTGGTTTTGGTTGAAAACAAAAAGTTTTGGGAAGACACCGATGTTTAAAGGGGAACATCGATGTTCAAAAAGTTTCTGGAAAGTGAAGATTGAAGGGACTCCCTCGGACAACGCTGTTGGCTTGATGGACAGCGTTGTTGGAAAACTTTCTGGTTGACGGTGTTTCCCGCAACAGCGCTGTTGTGACTCCTGGACAGCGCTGTTTGCATGGTTCCCCCTGATTTCATGAACGGGGTACCTAAAAAAACAACACTTTGGTACCCAAAGTATGTCTATGGGTCCTTGGGGGTTAGTTAACCTTTTATTGCCCACGCACACACCCAAAATTTGTTTCCTTACACGCGCGCACACACACACGCGCACGATTAGATGATCGCTTAAGAGTTACCTTGGCCAACCCGTCGTCTCGTGGTTGGCGGGTTCCAGTCTACCTGAACGGAGTGCCGATATCTCGGTGTGGTCTGTGTTGGTTCCGGTAACGGGATGTGGACTTTCTTCTTTTCGTCAAAGTAGAAGAAATAATAAGGTTTCTTTTGTGCATTGTCCTGTGGAGATTCTTTATGATTTGAATATCCTTTTCCAAAGGATTTCTTTTCGTTAGCATCAAATATGTTGTGTGTTTCATTGTAGGTGGAGTGCCTATGTCTGGTAAAACACATGGGAGCTATATGTCCTACCCTATTGCAATAATGGCATACTACGTTTGGGTTGAACATATGCCTAGGTTGATAATAGCTAGGGGGTCTAACCATTTTCATCCTATTTTGAGAAAAGGATGGTTTATGCACGTTTTCAAAAGAATCATTTCTAGGTGTCCTCATGTTATTTCTCCTAATTTGAGAAAAATTATTATTATGCACAAAATTATTTTTCTTAGGTTGTCTACCATGAACATTTTCTTTCCTAGGTTTTAGTCTAGGTTGTCTAGTGTCCTTAGGTTGACTAGGTTTTCTATTATCCTGATTTTTAGGCTTCTTACGTTGAACCTTAGATGGTTGTCTAGGTGGTGGCTCAACGTTCTCTTTAACCTTAGCGTCATTTTTATTGAAACCTATTCCTTCCTTAGAAAAATGCATGGTGTCAAGGAGCAAATTTAAATCTTTGTGTGGAGTATTAAATTTCTTGACCGTACTCTCAAGTTTGGTGACTTGTTCCTCTAAAGCTTTGCAAGATTCACATTTGTTTGAGGAACTTTCTGGTTTGTCGGCGCTTCTTTTGCCATAAAATTTATTCTCTTGTTTTAACTTCTCATTATCTTTTTTCAGATTTTCAAAATCATTTTCAAGAGTGGAGAGGCGTTTCTTTAACGATTTGTTGATTTTAGAAGCGCTAACAAATTCGTCATAAAGTTCATGAAGTGCTTCTTGCATTTCTTCAAAAGGTGTAAGAGTCGGAAGAAATGGTACATACCTCTTGTACATCGTCGGTTTGGTCTTCGTGCGCCATGAGACAGAGGTTGGCAGTTTCATCCTCGTCTTGATCGGTTGACTCGTCGCCGGAGTCGCCACCCCAAGAGATATATGCCCTTTGCCTTTTGAAGTGCCGAGAATTCCTTCTGCTTTTCGGGCATTCGTTCTTGATGTGCCCGGCTTCACCACATCCATAGCACACAGGGCCATTCTCAACCTTTTCTTTCTTCCTTAGAAGTTTACAAAACTTCTTCATGACAAGCTTGATTTCATCATCGTCGCTTGAATCATCCATCGTTGATTCTTTGACGGCTTTTAATGCTATCCCTTTCCTTTGGTCATTTAAAGACGGGTTAAGAATAGTAGATTCATAGGTTTTTAGATTACCTCTTAGGCTGTCGATGGTGACATTTGATGTGCTGATTGATTCATAGATGTCATCGGCCTTGGATCGCCATTCGGATGTCAAGCTCTGTAGGATCTTTCGCACAAGATCCCTGTCGGTGTATGTCTTCTTTAATGCATGGAGGTCATTGACTATCTTGGAAAAACGGTCAAACATGTCGTCGATCTTCTCGTGCTCCTTCATCGTGAACATCTCATATTCTTGGGTGAGGAAGTCAATCTTGGCTTCACGTACTTGGTCCGTTCCTTCGTACGTCACCTCAAGTTTGTCCCACATCTCCTTGGCGGTTGAGCAGCAGGAGATCTTGCGGTAGTCATCAGGATTTACGGCACAATAAAGCATATTTATTGCCTTTGCATAATTCTTGACCTTTTTGATGTCCTCGGCATCAAACTCGTCTTCGGTCTTGGGGATCAACTTGTCTCCGACTTTCTTCATCGGCACCTCTTCCCTGTTTTTGATAACCAACCATAATTGGAAGTTCGTGGAACGAATATAGATTCTCATTCGTTCTTTCCAATATGTATAATTGGTTCCATCAAAAAGAGGTGGCCGTGTGGTTGATTGCCCTTCACCTATTCCTGCATACAAATTTCTAGAAGAAGAACCCATGATCGCTTTACTCTCAAACGGTTAAGTTTGGACGCGAGTTAGGCTCTGATACCAATTGTTAGAA